AAACTAAACTCGGTGAAACGAACTACCGCCTTCAATAACACATAAAACAGAACAGGTAGCTCGGTGAAAAGCTTCCCTTAACTGGGCCTCGTCAAATAGGGATCCTCTACGTAAAGAATTTCAATCTCCATCAGGAAAGAAGAAAGAGTCGCCTTCCAATTCCTGGAAGTCCAGTAAAAATGATGACTCTAGTAAGGAATGGGAGGTTGACAGAAAACTAAACTTTGGGGGCTGGACAAACAAGCTCAAAGGCAAGTGGTTGGTCCAGTTGAGGGACTAATCAAGTTCAGACAAACGAACTACCGCCTTCAATAACACATAAAACAGAATAGGTAACTCGGTGAAAAGCTTCCCTTAGCTGGGGCTTGTCAAATAGGGATCCTCTACGTAAAGAATTTCAATCTCCATCAGGAAAGAAGAAATAGTCACCTTCCAATTCCTGTAAGTCCAATACAAATGATGACTCTGGTAAGTAATGAGGGGTTGACAGAAAACTAAACTTTGGGGCCTAGACAAACAGGCTCAAAGCCAAGTGGTTGGTCCAGTTGGGGGACTAAGTTTAAAACCCAATTGGTTTTACTTGATTTGCTTGTGAAAATCACTATTTACAATTAATTATACCCAAACAGATTATTTTCTGCATATTTTTAAAGAAATTGACGATTCTCTTAGTATAGAATAACAATCAACGCAAGGCCAAAAATGTAAGAAACTAGACTTGTAACCAATTCTAATGACGGTGATTTGTTATTTTTCGGATTTATACCCAAAGAGAACAACACTTCTGAAATTACTGTGTAACACCAGTTTTCTAGACAGATTTGAATGCACCATGATATTCACAAATATTGGTGGCCAAGTACTCCTACCTAACCCACGTTTCACTCACAAGATCCACCATTATTTTAAAGTTGATTTCAACAGTTGAGATTGTAAATGTTTCCCAAAATATTACAAATTGAATATTCAAAAGTTGATTTTAAAATAATTCCAAATGACAACAAAAATTCAAATAGTCATACTTTTCAATGAAATACAAATAGTAGGTCGTAACAACGAATGATGCATAGCTAAGTGAAACACAACATTGCCTACATAAGCTTCATTTTTCCACACATTGAGTAGTCAAATCGTGGAGAGACTTGTCAGTATATGCAGATGGATTGTGAAGTCATGTGACCTGGTGCACAGACTTTGGTTTTCTCGATTTTTTGCTCGAGTTTTTTATTACAGTGACAACTCATCTCTTATTGATATACATGGGATTCTCAATTTAGAAAGTCACATGGCAACAGTGAATTCACTGATTTACCTTACAGTCAGCATGCCCTTATTTTGTCCGTATATGCAGATGGATTGTCAAGTCATGTGACCTGGTGCACAAGCTTTGGTTTTCTCAATTTTTTGCTCGATTTTTTTTTTTTTACAGTGACAACTTATCTCTTATTGATATATGTGGGATTCTCAATTCAGAAAGTCACATGGCAACAGTGAATACAATGATTTACCTTACATTGAGCATGCCCTTATTTTGTCGATATATGCAGATGGATTGTCAAGTCACGTGACTTGGTACACAGTATTTGCTTTTCTCTGTTTTTTCATTCTAGTGACAATTCATACCTTGTTCGTATATATGGGATTGTCATGCAGAGGCATCTTCCTAAAGCCGTTCATAACCAACTATATAAACCACTAAAGGTGAAGACACAACCTTACAACTCATTTCGCCCTACGAAATTATCATTCATTTGTTTTAAAAAATTAGCATGGCTACACGATTCATGGGAGGGAGTGGGAATCGCAGAGGTGGTAGGAACTTGCAAAGGGGTGACAGTTCACGGCGAGGAGGGGGAAGGGGAAGTGGCGATGCTAAAGACGATTCATGGGAGGGAGTGGAAATACCTGTTTTAGATTATGCTTGTGGTTATCGTGATAGGTTTGGGAAGCGACATTTTTTGATGTCCAAGTATTATCCAGTTCAAGGAGGTTCATGTATGGAGCCATTTGACAATCAAACAGGATATGGTTTATCTGACGCTGCTCATCTCAAGTGGCCCGCACTATTTATAGAGCGGGTACAGCTGGAAACCTTAAGTCGGGAAAATCAACTTAAGGTGCCAAAAGCACGTTCTGTTTAGATCCAAATGGAAGATCCTGATAATGTTGATCGACTATATGAAAGACTACAACGTGAGATTTCTCAAATGCGCCGTAGGTTAGCCCGAGATATGCAACTATATATAGTTAAGAAGGATGCCCAGAAGAACAAAACAGAACCAAATGTTGCGGCTATCAAGGGTATCATGGAGGATTCTGAACTTGTTTCTGACGCTGAGCTTTCGGATTATTCAGACTCTGAGCCACCTGCCGATTTAAGCGCAAATTAGGTGTTAATGTCTACACTTCGACAATATTAGGTCATGCATTAATATGTAATGTCTATGTTAGACTAAGTGTTTCCGTAATGAGTTTGTCAGATTGTCTGCCTAATATTTGTCTGTCTAACTGTTATGTTTATGTATTATGTGTTCAGTTCAGGGTGTCCAGGATGTATGTAATGTGTGTTCAGTTCATGGTGTCCATAATGTATTTTTGCGGGAGACTTATGTCTGTACTACCTATGTAACTGAAAACTGTTACATTTGCAACTTTAGTTGTGTTGTTTTCATGCCTGTATGAGTATTTAGTAAATTAGTGACTTCGTATATTATGTATTAAGTTTTATTACAAAAATGTTGACAAAATTTATTTTAGGAGCTCTCGCGGTAGCCTTCGTCTTCTTGGCCTACTCTGCGGTGCTCTTTGCGTCTCACCCTTTGTCGTTGCTCGTCGAACTGCACAGTGTGTGGGTGTGCTTCGGACTGTAGAGCATGCATATCACCTTCTAACCCAAAACAAAGACGAAATAATTTTTTTTTTAATGAAAACGGGTACAAAACGGTTTTACTAAACTGGTTTTCTGAATTACATTCTCACCTTCTAACCCAAAACAAAGACAAAAGAATAAATATATATATTTAAATAAAAACGGCTTTAGTAAAGCCAAAATAAATTTCTGAATAACACCTTCTAACCCAAAACAAAGACAAAAGAAAAAAAAAAATTACATGAAAACGGCTTTAGTAAAGCCAAAAAAAAATTATTAATTCCATTATCACCTTATAACCCAAAACAAAGACAAAACAATAAACAAAAAAAATTTACATGAAAACAGCTTTAGTAAAGACAAAAAAAAATTCTAAATTACACATTCTAAACCAAAACAAAGACAAAAGAAAAAAAATAAATAAATAACACGAGAACGGCTTTAGTAAAGCCAAAAAAATTTATGAATTACATTATTACCAAAACAATGACAACAGAAAAAAAATTAAAAAAAATAAAATAAAATTTATATGAATAGTGAAAGCGTGGTTTCAATCCATGCTTACTGTAGTGAACAGTGAAAGCATGAATTTTGTAAATGAACATGATTGGCTTAATAATATCTAAATGAACATGATTTTAAAACTATATATATGAAAAATATTATGTAAAATTAATATATGAAAAGAGGCTTTTCCTATAAAAATTTAAATGATATATAAATTGGCTTGATTCCCAAATGCTTGGTAATTAGTTAAAAATACTATGTAAAATTAATATATAAAGAAGAGGCTTTTCTCATATTATGTAACACAAATTAATATATGAAAAGAAGATGTTTTTCCCATATTATGTAAAATTTCTGAATTACACCCTCTAAACCAAAAGAAAGACAAAAGAAAAAAAAAAATTAACATGAGAATGGCTTTAGTAAAGTCAAAAAAAATTTATGAATTACATTATCACTAAAACAATGAGAATTGGAATAAAAACAAAATATTAAAAAAAAAAAAAAATGAACAGTGAAAGCGTGGTTTCAATCCACGCTTACTGTAGTGAACAGTGAAAGCGTGGTTACAATCCACGCTTCTTTAGCTGAATAGTGAAAGCGTGATTCACAATTACGTTTTCTTCAGAAAAAAAAAATTATATGCACAGTGAAAGCGTGGTTTCTTCAGAAAATGAATTAAACGAGATTCACAGTGAAAGTGTGGTTTCTTCAGAAAACGAATTAAATGAGATGCACAGTGAAAGCGTGGTTTGAAATCACGCTTTCTTCACAAAAAATTTTTATGTTAAAAGCGTGATTTGCAACCACGCTTTCTTAATTAAAAGCGTGGTTTGCAATAGCGCTTTCACTATTCACTACATTTTGGGCTCCAAACAGTGAAAGCGCGATTTGTAATAGCGCTTTAGCCTAGTTTGAAAATTCCGTCCAAACTAGGCCTAAGTTTGGGAATTAAAATACAAAATAGGCTTAATATGGGAAAAGCCTCTCAGTTGAGAGTTTCTGCAGCTTCGTTTGAGTAGTGATGGCCATACACTACAACAAAATGCACCTTTGGCGACTAATTTAGCGACTGAAAAAAATTTAGTCGCCAAAAGTTATGGAATTGGCTACTAAATTATTTTTTAGTCGGCAAAAGTATAACATTTAGCTACTACTTTTTTTAGTAGGGGTATATTGGTTATTAGCAACTTAAAAAAAATTTAGTCGCTAAAAATTGCCATGATTGGCGACAAAAAAGAATTTTCGTCGCCGTATATTAAGTTTTGGCTACTAAAACCAGTTAGTCGCCGAATGGAAAATAAAAAATTATTTTTTTACTTTTTGCGACTAAAATTTTGGTCGCCAAAAGTTTATTTTCAGCGACTAAAAGAATCTTAGTCACCATAGGTTGAGTTTTGGCTACTAAAATATTTAGTCGCCGAATAGAAAATAAAAAATTATTTTTTGACCTTTGGCGACTAAAATTTTGGTCGCCAAAAGTTTATTTTCAGCGACAAAAAGAATTTTAGTCGCCGTAGGTTAAGTTTTGGCGACCAACATTTTAGTCGCCGTTTGAGTTGATTTGGCTAAATAATTACTTACATTTTTGCCGACAAAATTTGAAATTAGTCGCCAAAGCTGCCAAAATTTTAGTAGGAAAATGAAAACCTATTCGCGCCCTCCCAGGTATTCTCCTCTGTTTAGGAATACAAAGCACTATCTCTCTCTCTCACACACACACACAATCACCACCAAATCTCACCTCACCTCAGGCGCTTACCACCGGGAAGCATTCGACGTTGCACATTGCCACCGTCACAAATCGCCACCGTTGCAAATCACCACCGCCACTGCCGCAATACCAGGTTATATCTCGCTCTTTCTCTTAGTCTCGCACTCTCTCTCGTTCTCGCTCTCGAGCTTGCCGTATCCCCAAATCGTATAAAACTTGCCCTAGATCCATAAGTGGCTTGCTATGCTAGTGTTGTTGCTCTTTATGAAATTTGTTAACCCTTTTTATGTTAACTAATATACTGAAGTGCCTCTGGGAAAGAGGTGGGAGTCCAAATCGGGTTCAATTTATCACGTAATTAAGAGTGATTGAGTAATTAGGTACAAACTGTATAAGTGAGAGGCATACTACATTAGGCAAAATAATTTTGTTATGAAATTAATTTTGTAGAGTGTTTAAGCTTTTGGATCTGTGGTTTTATTTTTATCAATGGAAGACACAAGTTTAAGCTCATGTACACCCACACTCATCATTTCCACCTTGCTCCCTTGTTGATTGTTTGATGTTTGAGGATCAAAACAAAGGTTAAAAGCCCTCCTACAAGAGCCTCTGTTGCTGCAAAATTCCATCTTTCCCTTCCCTCTCTTAGTTTGCTTCATTACTAGGAATAGTTAATGATGTTGCAGGTTGTGGCTAGAAAACAATGATTTGATGAGGTAATCTATCTCCATTGTGTTCTTGTTGTCATTATCTTTTTTTCCCCCAATTGTTGTAGTTGGCTAATGTCTGAATTCAATGTTTTAGAGTGATTTGGAGTATCAATTTTACTTTGTGATTACGAAGACGATATGAAATAGGTAGGCAATAGATGGTAAGATATTGTTCACTTTTTAATTTTTAATTTTTTGTCTTTATATTAAGCATAAGTAATTTGTTGCAAGCTCAATGTCTTTAAATTAATGAGCAGATGACAAACCTAACTAAAGAGGAATTTGTGCACATTCTTCGTCACCAAAGCACCGGATTCTCTCGGGGGAGCTCAAAATATAGAGGAGTGACCTTGCACAAATGTGGTCTATGGGAGGCTCAAATGGGACAGTTCCTTGGGAAGAAGTGAGTGCTGTTAAACTCAAAACTGTTACTAATTAATTAAATGATCCTATTGTTAGATGTAAATATTAGAAGTTACAAAACCTAGTAGTTGGTGTTAGGAACTATGATTTGGTTTTTAAGAAATTCCCTGTTTTGCTAAATTGTTCTATCTATAATTATGTATAATTAACAATCTAATTTGGGCTCTGTTTGTTTTGGAAAATTCCAATTCAGTAATTAAGAAGAATCTTTGTCTTGATTGATTCAGAATGATTTGCTTTGATTAGACAAACCATAAATCATAAACTGTATAGAACATTATACAAATAAAAAACAAATTGTATTGGTTATGGCTTGTTGGGAAATTTTTATATCTATATCTCTCTATATATATGTATAACACTATTTTCTAAAGCTAGAGATGGTTAATTGAATGTTTGTTTTGTAACTTGAGATTTTTATGCTTTTGGCACCATTAAATGATGTAAATGTTGTTTTTTAATTTTTTTTATACAAAATATCATTTTTTCAAACAACCAGGTGAAGGAAAACAGTTATTGTGTCTGCCTAGCATTGTGGTGGTCTGAAAGAAGTCTTGATGGCATTCTAGTGGAAGTTGTAGTATGATGGTGATGGTATCAATGGTGATAGAACTAGAAATCTTATTGAAACTACATTTGAACAAGATTAACCTATAGTAGTGCATCCTGAATGAAAGTAAGGCCTCGTTTGGGAACAGGCTAATTTAGTAACTTTTTGGCTATTTGGCTAAAAAGGTAGGTAAAAAAAACTTGTATGTTTGGGATGACTTTTTGGCTAATTACGAAAAGATGTGCAAAAAGTAGAGAGAAAAGAGAATCTTTGACTTTTTGGTATGAGTTGTTGGCTTTTTGGCTAATTTAGTAACTTTTTGGCTAATTGGCTAAAATAGCCTCTTGCCAAACGAGGCCTAAGTTTGGATTCACATGTTTATCTTGCAAAATGTCAGATGTTTTATAAGACTAATCATTAAAGCAAGGGCCTATGAATCTGCGTTGTATTTACACACATATCTGGGACTATATACTAGTTTGATCACTTTTTGGGAGTCCATTCATATGATTTGAAATGTTTAGTGGGAATTTAGACTTTGTTATGTGGTGGCACTTAACATTATTCTGTTACATGGAGATAATGATGGTTTAATTTTGTTATTGGTTATTGTGCCATTGTATAACTGCTCTCTGTTTTGAGAATCTTTTTATATGATTGCATACCACTTGCAGCTGATGAAGCATATGACTACTTTTTTTTATGGGTAGTGAGATGACTTATTGGAGCAATAATGTCACACTTGATTGTTATGTGCAGGCATCTTAGTCGAAGTATCTAAATTTTAGTTGTGGGTTGAAATTTTATTAAATATAATTAGATTTGATGGCTTAACTAAATGTTGTACCTTATCTTTATGTAATTACCAGCTTGTTTCATTGGGCTAATTTCTTTCCTCATTTCATGCAATTTTTTCCCCATTATTGGGTGTCAACTGATAAATATTTGCATTTACGTACTGATTATTGATTATAAGTTGACTTTTGTGATTATAGTGGGTGAAATGTGAATAAAACATGCCTATATTTCACCTAATTTCACACACCTTTTCCCTTTCCCTTTCCAAATCCCTCCCCAAATCCCCCAACCAAACACAGCATTAATATTATTTAGACAAATACTTGGCGAAGTACAAAATACTTCTAATTTAGTATAGTTTAGCTACCCCCTCTATTTAAAATAACAGCAAATTGGTCTTCTGTCTTCATAAAAGGTACTCAGCCTGAACTTCAGTTTTCGGTAATAAAATATTGGTCCACTTCAATTTGCTAAATTTTGAGATGCTGGCCTTTAGGAGTCTGGCTTGTGTGTGAACCTAACTTCCATGCTTATATAAATGCTTTATTCTGATGTATATGGGGAATTCCTGTAACACAGAAGAGAAGTCATGTCCTAGTTTTGGTCCTCTAAAACTGGAGTCTACGAGGTGTTATTCTCATTTTATTACTTTTGGAAGTTCAAGCTTTTATCCTTACACTAAGCACTGATGAGATATGAAAAAGAAAAAAGAAAAAAAAAAAAACTTGGTGTTCATTTTGATGCCTCATTTCATTTGTTCATTTTTTTTGGAATTTCTGTGGCTTTTACAGTGGAATTTATCATTGAAACATGGAGGCATGCAAAAAACAGGAGTTCTTCATATCCTCTGGTTGTGATCATCTTTAGGTTTCTTTGAAGCGACAAAATTCATAATTTGACATCATTTTTTAGATTGGTGCCATTTTCATAATGGCTCCAGTCAAAATAATTGACTTAATTGGAATGCAATACAGAAAGTTAAATGGCTATTCACTTTCCTTGGGACTTTCAAATATACCTTTTGACTTACACTTCATACCAATTAGTTAACAAGGGGTAACTTCTGTTACTATAAGGAGATTAAATTGTTCAAGTTATTTTTAAGAAAATGGCCAGATAATTATATATTACTCTCCATCTAGTGAGCCAAGACATCTTTTGTGTTGTTTGCTAGCCTTTTGAATGTCTTCAACTGCTAGTGTGGAGGTTAATTCGTATCCTTCCATTTCAACTGCTTTTTCATTCACTTTAGTTCACTTACCTATTGCTTGTTTTTCTTCTCTCTCTCTCTCTTTTTTTTTTTTTTTGTCCAACAGATTTTTGAAGGGCCCATTCATGTCAATGTGAGCCACATTATTCATGATTTATCATTTGGGCCAAAATATCCTGGAATTCACAACCCACTTGATGAGACTTAACGGATTCTACGTGGTTCAAGTGGAACATTCAAATATTACATAAAGGTTTGATTCCTGGTCTTTCTTTGATAAAATTGTTGATTTATCTTCTGGTGTTTCCAATATGCACCTTCTTTAAGATAGCTGGTCATTTTTTCTGCACATATGTGCTCCAGATCTTGCTGTTCAAGGGGACCCTTGCTTAAATGATCATTGTGTTGTCCTCAGTATTGACTAGCTAAAAGAAAAATAAAACTGGCTATTTTTGCACATGTTATCTTGGAAATATTTTTCTTATGATCATTAGAATTTACTAGCATCACACACTATCGAACAAATTTATGGGACGCCCTTATGGAGAGTGGGTAATGACCATATAAATGTTGTGTTTGGATCATGGATTCATGGTGTGAAAAGATAGGAAAAGAAAATGAATGAAAGCATTCCCTTACCATTTCTTTTCACGCGACAAATCCAAGATCCAAACATAGTCTTAACATGACTCTTGTTCGTAGAATACTCATTGGATGCTTTGGTCTGATAAAGCATACAAAGCACTCAATTGTCAGCCGTTGCACGCTGAAACCCAAATTTTCTCTGTTATTGAACAATAATTTATTGAAACAACATATTCATTTATTGAACAAAAATTTGAACTCTGCTTTATGTATATATATAGTTCATTTAATAGTTGGGTTTATATTTAGGGTTTTACCATTCTTTTTCTTGCTCTCTGTTGAGAAATTTGTTTGTTTCCATGTAGATTGTTCCAACTGAATACAGATACTTATCAAAAGAAGTTTTACCAACTAATCAATTCTCAGTCACGGAATATTATTCTCCTATGAACGAGTATGATAGGACTTGGCCAGGTTTGTTTGGACACTGGAATTTATTTTGATCCCTCTCTGCTAACTCTTCTTTCTCTCTTCCAGATCTTTTTTCTGTTCCTTGCAGCTACTATCATCTGTGTTCCAATTACGAACCCAATTGTTATTCTATCCAGCTGTTTACTTTCTGTATGATCTGTCACCAATTACTGTGACCATCAGAGAGGAACGTCGCAGTTTTTTCCACTTCATCACTCGGCTTTGTGCAGTATTGGGCGGTACATTTGCCTTAACAGGTTTGTACTATTCTCTTTACTCTGCTTTTTGGAATTTGGGAAAAAGTTGCACACACTGAAGAATGAGGATCTGGAAAAGGTATCCTATCTGAGATGATTCAATTGAAAGATAACCATCCACTTAATAACAAAATCGATTTTTTTTTTTGTAATAATTCTGAAAATTTTCCTCATCATTTAAATTTATTTTGAAATCTAATTTTTTGAAAGGTCTGTACTAAAAAGAAAAAAAACTGTAAAACTGGTTAAAGTGACAAATTATCAAAGGAAACAGAAAACATTGTGGCTGTGAATTTTGCATTTTTTACAACTTCATATTTGAACTCATGCTCCGTTTGTTTGGGCGAAAAACATTTTTTAAAAAGTTTTTCTCATTTTTCTTGTGTTTGGTACAACGGAAAATGAAAGTCAATAGAAAACGTTTTCCATGGTTAATAAAAAAAAGGCCTATTTGCGCCGAAAATGTTCCCCACTTTTAAGGTAGAAAACGTTTTTCAAACTAAAGTCTTAGCAATGTCACCATCACCTCCACCACTTCGATCACTGTTACTGCCACTACCACCACAACTCCACCACCTTCACCTCCGTCCCGCCACCACTACCACTAACACAACCATTAGTTTATTAGTTTCAAAAATGCAACCAAACATAGGAAAATGTTCTCGAAAACATTTTCTCGAAAAAAGTTTTTTTTTGTAGTTTTGAGAATCCATCTACTGCAAAAGTTTTATGAAACCGATGTTTGAGGTTATGGGCAGGAATCTGCTCACTGTCATTTCTAATTTTCCTAATCACATAAGGTTCACTTTCCATTGATGTTCTCATAATCACTACAAGAAATTTCACTTTTGGCGACTAAATTTTTAGTCGCCAAAAGTCAATTTTTAGTCGCCGAAGGGCTTTAGTGACTAAATTTTTTGGTCGCAAAATTAGTAGCCGAAGAGTGGTCGGGAAAGCTAATTGGCGACTAAAATTATTTCAGTCGCCAAATGTATTCATTTGCCGACTAAATATTTAGGCGCCAAAAAGTTGGACATTAAATTAAATTAGACCCTTTTCGTCGACCAAACTTTTAGGCGCCTAAAATCCCAACTTTTTAGCTACTAAAATTTTAGTCACCGAAAGTCCCCATCTTTGGCTACTAAATGTTTAGTTGGCAAAGAATTCCTCTTTTGGCTACTAAATATTTGATCGCCTAAAGTTCTACATTTTTTGCTATTAAATTTTTAGTCGGCAAAAGTGTGTTTATAATTTAGTTTTTTGTTTTTAGCTACGAAATATTTTAGTCACCAAATGTTTGATTTTCTTTTGGCTACTAAAGTTTATAATTTAGTTTTTTGTTTTTAGCTACGAAATATTTTAGTCGCCAAATGTTTAATTATCTTTTGGCTACTAAAGTTTTAGTCGCCAAATGTCTTTTTTTTTTTTGCTACAAAAAACTTTTAGTCACCAAATGTCTTTTCCCAATTTCTTTTTAGCTACTAATTGTTTAGTTGCCAAAAATATGATATTATGTTTTATTGCGAAATTATAATTTCTCCACAACCTGTCTATATACAATACAACCTGTAATACGTGTAAAAACAAAATGATACATACAATTAATCATTTCACAATCTGCATCCATATACCAAAAATAAATAACATTAAATATCAAAGTTCATACAAATCAACTATTGTCTAAACTAAAATAATTATTCTATACAAAATATGTCATACAAAAATCAAAGCCCTCCGTATACAAAAAAATATATTTACTACCAAGCGAAATTACCATTTGGCATGGTACAAATTATCATCGTAATATATACCACAACAAAAGGTGATATATGTACCACGACAAAAGTTTTCTATGGACCATGACAAAACGTCCTATAAGTATGCCGACAAATTTAGTATATATGTACCACTACAATCATTATCTGTTGATTGCCAAAAGTTTTCTGTAACAGTAATAATGAACTACACAAAAGTTGAGGACAACAAAAGTATTATATTAGTTCTACACAAAAGTGAAAATTCCTCTCCATACACCAATATGGATTATCCACAAGTCCACGCAACAAAACCATCTACAAAGAAAAACAAAAAATGAAACAGTAGAATTGGTTACAAAATATCAATTCAGTCAGCCATCATGTTCTAACATGCATTTAAGGTAGAACAATCAAGAAATGCCTTCTTGGAAATAAAAGAAAGTATATATATATATATGTATCATGCAATATTTATTCCAACCAAATGCACAAACAATGTAATATGCAATTTCTTCGTCCTATAAATATATAAAGGCAATTATTAGAATATGTAGATGTTATTTTAATAAAGTTGTTACTTTTTTAACTAAGTGTTGCAAATTTTTCGACTAAGTGGAAGGCGTATTCGGGGGGCTGTTATGAATTTTCGCCCTCGGAAAGCCCTTTTTTGAGTATGTTTAGGGCGTATTCGGCTCTAACTCCCAACCTACGGGTCCGAATTACATTCCGTTAGATCTCACAAGTCCTATTTGTCGTGGCGAAGCTATCCGTGTGAGCCACTCGGTCGTTTGGGAGCTGTTTTGAATTTTCACCCCCGAAACGCCCTTTTTTGACTAAGTTTTAGACGTATTCGGCTCTAACTCTCTACCTATGGGTCCGAATTACATTTTGTCAGTTCTCACAAATCCTATTTGTCATGGCGAAGCTATCCGTGTGAGCCACACGGTCGTTCGGGGCTGTTTTGATTTTTCGCCCCCGAAACGCCCTTTTTCGACTAAGTTTTGGACGTATTCGGCTCTAACTCTCTACCTACGGGTCCAAATTACGTTCCATCAGTTGTCACAAGTCCTATTTGTCATGACGAAGCTATCCGTGTGAGCCACACAGTCGTTTGGGGGACTGTTTTGATTTTTCGCCCCCGAAACGTCCTTTTCCGACTAAGTTTAGGGGGGTATTCGGCTCTAACTCCCAACCTACGGGTCCGAATTACGTTCCGTCAGATCTCACAAGTCTTATTTGTCATGGCGAAGCTATCTGTGTGAGCCACCCGGTCGTTCGGGAACTTTTTTGAATTTTCACCCCCGAAACGCCATTTTTTGACTAATTTTCACAATCTGAATAAGAGATAAAACTAGATTTAGACAAAATCAAATATCATACCATACCCATGATCATAACCCTTCTAACTTCTAAGTTTGACTAGTACCAAATGAAACATTTAAGTAAACCATAAATTGTTGTGCTATGAAGTACCTAAATTCAGTCCTTGGGCCTATTTTCCAGAGGTAAGATCAGAACAAACTTCTTCAGCAAAACAAACTAATCACATTCCCAAACACCCAACTCAAACTCATCTACCTAACCCAATGGACTTCCTTACCTGCTGTAGATTTGCCACAAAGTTATGCACAGAGTAGAACCTGCCCAGGAAGAGAGTCTTCATCCATATTGCCACCTCTGTCTTCATCCAAATTGATCCAAAGAAGAGCACAAGGCAGAGCTTTCCATATCTAGCAAGTAGCAGCAACAGCAGTAGCTAGCAACACTCCATTTCCGCAGCAGCAACTAGCAACTAACAGCAGCAGCAACAGTACTCCTTTTCTATAGTAGCAGCACTCCAAAAACAGCAGCAACACTCCTTTTTGCTCATTGTGACCCTTAATAATGTAAAAGATACATAGTATTTCAAAACATTAAAAAAGAAGGCAAACCTTCTTTAGTACAGCACTTATTTCCTCATCATAGTCCAGTTTTGATGCCAAGTGAAGATCCTTAGCAGCCTCTCCCCATTAACCAAGCATTGCCCATGCCATGCAATTCAACTGTTAGACCTATCATAAAACATACATCTTCTTCCATTCAACAATGAAAAAAAAATCAGCCTATACAAATATACACGTCCATATTAACAACAGGAAATAAAAAATAAAAAATTTTAGAGTCTAAATCAGCATATACCTGCAAAATCAATTAGAAAAGGGAATTGAAAACACTTCTTTCAAACTAATAACACTTGAATCTAAAATGACAATAATTTCCATAAAAAATCCCCCAAATCAATCCAAAATAATCAAATCCAACAATCAGAACAGCTTCTCTAATCTAGCCCTAGCTCAATTTCATTCTAATCACACAAAAAATAATTCAATTTTGATTTTAAATCAGCATGTACCTGGTAATCAACAGTTGGATAAACGTAAGCAAAAGCGTTTCCTCTAGGTTTCCAACAACCAAATCAAACAACAATCATATACCCAATTACACACATATACAGACTTCAAATTTCCATTTCCGCCATTAGGGTTTGGAAATCGAACAATCAGATACCCAATTACACACACACGTATAGAAATCACTGAAGCTTTACACACACACACACACACACACACACATATATATAACTTTGAACATAGATCATGAACCAACAAAAATCGAACACAGAGAGAAGTAAAGGGTGGGTAGATTGTCATTGATCTGGTGAGGAAAAGAGAAGATGAGGAGAGAAAAAAATGTAGAGAGAAGTAAGCCACCGGAAGCGAATCAATGGGAGGTGAGGCGAGGCAATGGTGAGCTGCGGCGACGATGTTCGACAATGGAAGATTGACGGAAACTGTGGTCGTCTGCGACGACGAGATGAGGGGCGGTGGTGATCGATTCTCTGTGAGAGAGAGAGAGGGAGAGCAAGAGAGATAGAATAGAACCGTGTGAAGACTAACAAATTTGGGTAAAAATTTAGGCGCTAATATGAAATATTTCCCACGAAATTTTTATACACATTCGGCAACGAAAGTTTAGTCGGGAAATATTAACAAATGACGACTAAAATTATTTTAGTAGCCAAAACATGAACTAATGGCGACAAAAAAATTTTTAGTCGCTTATTGTTACACTTTTGGGGACTAAATTTGTTTTAGTCGCCAAATTCAATGCCAAAAGTGTAAATTCTTTGAAAATTTTAATTACAATTGGCGACTAAACATTTTAGTCAGAAAAAGTCAGCAAAAGGCTACTAAAATAATTTTGTGTCTCTCAAAGTAAGTTTTTGGCGACTAACATTTAGTCGCCAAAGAGAAAAAAAATAATTTATTTTGTATTCGGCGACTAAATTTTTTAGTAGCCAAAAATTAGTATACGACGATTAAATTTTTTTTTGTCCCTGAAAGAAGTTTTTGGCGACTAAAACTTTAGTCGCCAAAGAGAAAAAAATAATTTTTTTATTTTCCATTCGGCGACTAAATATTTTAGTAGCCAAAAGTCAATATACAGCGACTAAGTTTTTTTTTTGTAGCCAATTCTGGCATTTTTAGTCGCCAATAATGACTAATACCCCTACTAAAAAAAATTAGTAGTTAAATATTTTACTTTTGGCGACTAAATTTTTTTTAGTCACCAAAGGTGTATTTTGTTGTGATGAATGTAATATATTGATATTTAACAGGAATGTTAGATCGGTGAATGTATAGACTTCTTGATGCAGTAATGAAGCCAAATGCTAGAAGTATGTCGCGGTAAACATGGGGATTGCATCTATTAAAGCAAAGATTATATAACCACTAATTGATAGCGTGGTGGGAGTCTGAAATTATGCTGCTGAGGGAGATTATATATAGAGCATTATATTGGTTGTTTAATTTTTCTTTCTTGTTTACCCTCGTCCAACTGATGATTCAAGCCGCATTGTCATCTTAACACTGTTACCCATTTTATAAATCTCTCCCCATGCATGTTGTGGTTTTTCTGGGAAGAATGTGTAAGAGGATGTACTTGATTACTTCCCAAAATACATGGGGTCACATCTGAATGATGATTGGCTAATCTTGGGTAAATGAGGGCACACATGGCACGAGGTGATTGGATAATTTTTTTGTAGCTTTGTTTTATTTTATTTATTTTTTGGGATGAATGGATGATTTGTTTATGGATGAAGTGGATGAGATTTTGGAACTCTTTTTTTATTATCCAAATTATAGTGGAAAATCTCACTTTTTTTTTATAATTGTCACATAAAATGGATTTTAACGTCGCGTTTGGTTGGGGTGTTTGAGAAGGAATTTGAAAAGAGAAAGGAAAAAAGTATGTAAAACTATGTGAAATGTAAGTATATTTCATTAACATTTTATCTACTTTTTCTCTTTTCAAATTCTTTTCTAAATCTTTCAACCGTATAAAGAAGAATCAAAATTTGGGGATTGTCACTATTGCAAGATTATCCTAAAAATGATTTTTTTTTTCTCAAATTATTACTTGAATTTGGAGATTACCTTCAAAATTGAATTTGTACACATCATTACGAGTCTATCACTTTAAAATCAATAATTTATCAAGTTTTTTCCTTTTTGTGTTTTTTGGAGGAAGAATTTATCAAGTTAATTATTAATTATATAATGTTATTGTCATATCATTTGGGTGGCAATGGGTTAGTTGATTATATACCTAACCAAATTACCTTATATTTGATCTCCCACAATTTTTGTCTTGAACTCTAGTAACACCATTCATTGCCCTTCCGGTTCATTGCATGTTTCTTACTAATTTGATTCTGTTATATATTAATTTCTAAATATAATTTTAAATAAAATCATGAAGTTGATTAATTTGTGAGTTTGGTATTGATTGAGATCTAGAATAAATAGATTTTTGTTGAAATTATTACAAAATTATGATTATATATTTATTAGTATTCTTTTCCATTTATATTTTTAACCAATCCAATTTGTTGGTTCACGATGGTTAAAATATTGAATTAGGCTGAGGATTGGTGGATTGAAGCCGGGTTTAAAAAATTGAAAAAATTACACGTGTATGTTTTTTAAAATATTTACAAACATTAAAGTGATAATTTTTTTTCATTAACATTAATTAATTTTTTAAAATTTCACTAAATTGTAATTTTCTCTAAAAAAATCCCCAATTTGTTAAAGATTGGTTGGATTTGTGATTTTCCCTCCCTAAATTGACACAAATTATACAAGGAGAAATTATAAATCAGGTGGGGCTTTAAAAAGTAAATTAACATATTAATGAAAAAAATTCCCCAACATCCACCGATGATAGGTTATTTCTCCACTATACAATCCTGTTAAATCTGCTGTCCAACCGGTGACTCGCTCCAACCAGCAGACCGGCAGGGTTGAAAATCCCTCTATATATTCCAAATTAGGGCTCAAATCAAATCAATTGACGATCGATCTGTAAATCAATCTCTCTCTCATCCGCGATTGATCCCCTCATCTCTGTTCACTCAAGTCCAGGTGCGACATCTTGTTCTCCGGCGACGGCGGCTAAAGTTCAGGTACCGACTCTGCTCCTGCTCTATGCATCCCCTCGGAAGCTAAATCGAAAGAGAACACTGATAATATTAATCGTTTTTCTTTGTTTCCTCAGCAACCAAACTGAGTATCTTAGAATATTGTATACAATTGTTTCGTTTATTGGTGTCAATTTGTGAAGCATCTACGAGTTCCATTCACAAATAATATAACAGTTTCTAGAGATTTTTTGTTGAAAATGTTTTTTTTTTTTTTTAAAATATATGTTTTCGTTGTTTGGGCCTTACATGTATATACATACATCTTTAGTTGCCTTTCTTTGTGGCACTCTGAAATGGAGATAGCTTTTTCATTTCTACTCAATCAATAATCTGAACTCTGATTTGGTGTTACAGAGCTTGGCTTATTTGATATCAAATGTTTTTTTTTCCCAATTAAAGTTTTAGATGGTACTTGCTTGGTTTGCAGAGTTAATGTGGGAGAAAATATCTATAGTTTTATTTATTTATTTATGACATAATTACGACATCCTCGGTCAATCATGGTTCAATTTCGATTGACTCGATGGCTGAACCATTGATTCTAAGACCCAGCCTTTTTTAGGTTTCCTTAACAATCAGGGTTTTAGAACATTGGTAAGAAGGCCTACCTCGCAGTTCAAAGGGGGAGAGAGAGTTAGGACAAGCAAAGATGAACCACAATCAGCAATCGAGTGATGGCAGGCACGATGATGATACTGTGCTCTCTGATTTCCTTGCGTCCTTGATGGACTACACCCCCACTGTAAATTATCCTTGAAAAGCTCAATGAAAAACCTATCTATGCTTTGTTTTCAATAATAAATTTACTACTGTGTTTTCTGATCTCAGATTCCAGACCAATTGGTGGAGCATTACTTGGCAAAAAGTGGGTTCCAATGTCCCGATGTTCGATTGTAGGTACTTCGACCCTCTGTTATTAAAATCGTACAATTCGCGATTCGAATCATACAATTCGATTCAATTCAGTGGCTAAACGATACGAACATATTATGTGAATCGCAAATAGCTATGAATCGTAGGTGAATCGGTGAATTGAATTAGTGAATTGTGAATCGATTCGAATCGCTAAAATTGATGTTTGGCTTTCTTTTTTGGTTTTTTATTGTTGAAAAATGGTTCACAAAACATTTTTAAGGTCTTTAAGATTACTACATGCTATCTTTTGGCTTTCTCCCTCCCTATTTACTCTCAAATACTCAAACTTTAACCCCAAAAAATGAAATTTCTCTCTTTACAATATTCTAGGTTTACATATTCAATTTCATCTAAATACTTGCATTTACAAAATAAATTTTTTTTAAGGCATCAAAAGAGATTTTTGAAAAAAATTGAAAATTTTGATTTTTTAACCTTGTAAAATATTGTTGTTGAGTTATTGTTGCTTGAAAATTAAAAGTTTATCTTTGTTTGCTATCTTTATTGATAAGAAATAGTATCTAAAATGGAAAAGGTGAAGTGGGAAACATGGGAACCCATGTTAACTTCTTACCCAGACCACATGATCATCATTTAAAACAATATTTTCATTGATTTAAGTCTAAATAGTTCATATTTATTAGATATTTAATATCTATTTTTTATGTAATTTAAAAAAGGTATATGTTAAAAGGTGACCGAATCTTTACGATTCACGATTTAATTCGATTCGTGATTCGGTACAATACCATTTCGATTCACTATTCAAATCTCGATTTGACAACTATGCTTCTACCCCTCCTAAACTATCATCCTCGTATTTGTCTCTTTATTTGTTTGCCCTCTGTTTGGTTGCCAACAAAATTGAAGTAAGTGAACAATCATATTAAAAATGAGTAAACCTAACTCGATAAAGGTAAATGGTTGTGTTAAGGTCAGATGACTGGATGTTTGTGTGTGGGGTTTGTGTTGATGAAAAAATTGATGATTCAAAGCTAGTAATTTTTCTAATTTCCTCAGTTTTCTCACAAAGGAAACCCACAGTGAAGTACGACAATGTCATTAGAGTGTTATCCAAAAGCTGAACGGTAGGAGGGCTAGTAGGAGTATGAGGGATTTTGATTCTTTTTTAAGGGAGTATGATTTGATTGACCCGCCTTGTTGAATGCTTAATTTACTTGGTCCAATTTTCAGGAGGTGCTTTGAGAATATGTGGTTGGATCACCCTTTCATTCAAAAAGGATTTTAAAGAGTGGTGGGCGAATTGTAGGATTCAAGAGTGGAAGGGTTTTAAGTTCATGAATAAATTGAAAATGGTCAAATGAAAGTTAAAAGAATGGAATAAAGAGGTTTTTGGTTATTTAAAGGCCAAGAAAAGTGAGATTGAAAAAAGGTTTGAGGTTCTTGATTGTCTTGAATCTGGGGGGAATTTGATGAGGCACTTAGAAAGGAAAACTCGAATTTGAAAAAGTAATCTTTAGAGAATCAGTTCATCAGAGCCATTTACTCGTGATTGTTTTCTATGGAAGGGAATCCTAGAGCAGGGATTGAGGGTCTTGATTGGTGTCCAAATTATGTTTTCTTATTCAAGAAGTTCATTTATGTTCTTCCTTTCTAGTTGTTATATCATATATGGTCTCTGATGTGAAAAAACTGTGTGCATATTTTGTATTTCATTTTTCTGCACATTTGTATGGATATATATATCAAATCATTTATCTCCTTTATTTTTCGCAGAATCAGACTGGTAGCTGTTGCTACGCAGAAGTTTATTGCAGAGGTTGCAACTGATGCTCTTCAGTATGTTTCTAACTTCTGATAATTTTTTCATTACTGAAGTCTTTTCATTTGAGATTCACCAATAGTTCTATTTACAGGTTCATCGTATACATTTTCATATTTGCACTTCGAATTTTCATTATTTAGGTACTGGTGGTGCGGTGTTGTTTAACATATTTGTTTATTGTAAGTTACCCATCTGCATCTTAATATAGGCAATGCAAGGCAAGGCAGGCAGCTGTAGTCAAGGACAAGAGGGATAAGCAGCAAAAGGTGCTCACATTTTACTAATGTTTTTCTACTTTTCATTTTTTTATTTTTGTATATTTCCAGCTTTTTTTCTTTTTTTTTTTCTTTAGTTTAATCCGATCTCTCTCTCTAATAGGATAAGCGTTTAATCTTGACAATGGAGGACCTCTCCAAGGCTCTGCGTGAGGTAAGCACTTTAGTGCTTCAAGCAGTATTGCTATCAAGAGTCAAATTTATGCCAACCAACCTCAAAATGACAATATCATGTAAGTGTTTGGGAAGTGGGTTTTTTTATAGGTTTTTTTAGTTATAGGATATTATTGGAGAAAATTTTTTTTGACCTTGTTTGGTTTGTTTTTCAGAAAAATTTTTGGAAAAAATTCTCTATAAACAAATTTTTAAGAGTAATCAAACTAAATAAAATTTTTCAAAAAAAATCTCAAAATTTTGTTTGGTTGCCTACTTTTCAAAATCACTCTCTCTCTCATACACATAAAATTAATCACTTTTTTTGTAACTCTCTCCCCAAAACAATTTTCCAAAACCATTTTTAAAAAAGACAAATCAAACAAGTTTTCCTACTTTTTATCTCAAAAACTACTTTACAAACACAAACCAAACACACCCTTTGTGTTTGGAAAGATAGTTGGGTTTTTTTGTAGTTGGATATAATGTTTGTGAGAGAAAAAGTGAAATAATTATGGGGTTTGATGTGATATTTTATTTGGATTTGTTTTTTTTTTATTTTTTATTTTGTAACCAATTTGTCTTTTAGTGAAAAAAAAAACCAAAAAAAATTCTTCCCAAACAGCGCCCATGTCTCCTAATAGTTTGAGATGCAAAATTTCTAACCTCCAAATTTCGGTAGTCATAAAACTTTGGCAATACTGGACATCAAAGTTCTACCTTTTCGATTTGAATCTTGTAAAACATGATATTTCAATAGATGGATATATGTGAAAAGCATGTTTTGGAAAATGTGCTAAGACCGTGATTCTTTGATAACCGATATATCCATGTTATTAAGTTTTTGATATGTAAAGTAATCTAACCACTGAAAAGGCCTAATAGGGGTGTGACTTATCTACACAGGCAGCTTGCCTCAACCATTATGAGAATACCTTACGCTGTGTTTGGTTGGGGGATTTGGGAAGGGAAATGGAAAGGGAAATGGAAATGAAAGGAAAAGGAGAAAGAATTAATAGAATTCCAAATCCCAACTATGTTTGGTTGTGTTGGTTATAAAATAGAATTGATGTCCTAAAAGGTCTCCTATTTCTTTATTTATTTCTCACCCCCTTTCTTTTCCCATATATTTTTTATTATAACCAAACATAAATAGGATTACATTTCTCATTCCTTTTCCAAATCCCACCCCAAAAACCCCAACCAAACACAGCATTAATGTTGTGTTTGGTTGAGGGATTTGAGGAGGGATTTGGAAAAGGAAATGGAAAAATTAGGTGAAATATAAATAAAACATGCCTAAATTTCACATAGTTTCACACACCTTTTCCCTTTCCCTTTCCAAATCCCTCCCCAAATCCTCTAACCAAACACACCATAAATGCCAATATTTGAATAGACTAACTACATAATGGCACATAAGCCATGGAAAATTGAGTTATGTTAGGAGAGCAGAAGCATGTTTTTAGGCTCTATTTGTTCGGTTCTTTACTTATTTTGTGTAGATAAGTAAAAATAAATGCTGAGAAAGCAATTGGGTTTTTTAGCTGAGAAAGCTGACTTTTGCTAGTACCTTCTTCAATTAAATGCTAACAGATTTCTTATTTGTATTAGAGTATCTGTAATTGGTATATTGTCCTGGTTCTCGGTGATGGCCTCCAGAACTCTCTCATTCTTTTCAGATTACGACCATTTTACGTTGATTTTAGGTTTCTCGTTGTAATTGAGCAGTATGGCGTGAATGTGAAGCATCAAGAGTATTTTGCTGATAGCCCCACAGCTGGGTTGGATCCTGCTTCAAGAGATGAATGAGTATGAGCTCAGTGCCTTGTATCTGTAAAAACAAATACTTCATGGTGGCTTGCATTTTGAATTCAACTTTTAACTAATTTGCAAGGCTATGAAAATACACCATTATTTTTACATATTATGTCATCAATCTGTAGATGATTTCATTTCATGGTCTTGTTGCTACACAATTAGGTAGATGCAGTTATCCTGTTTTCTTAGTATCTCTCTCCCCTCGACAAAAAGAAAAAAAAAATGGAAACAAATACTTTATTTGTATTTGTATTTGTATTTTATTTTTTTATTAATGAGAGGATATTATGCTGGATTTTGAAAGCATTTGAAACTGGCAAGGTCTATTTCTTAAATAAATGTAGGAATTTGTTGAACAATTGCAGGCAATTTCGGTTGTTAGTTGCGATATTGCATTGTGAAACACCATGGAAAATGCTATATGGCATTTTCTTATTACTAGATACACAAACATTGATCTAACATTTATTTATTAATATAGTCCCCACTATTTTTGTGCCTAGTGGTAAAAAAAAATAAAAAATTTCTTGTGATTGTGAGATTCGTTCATGAGAGGGCTCTTTTATTATTACTTTTAATTGGGAAAGTTGAATGGGTCTACAGGTTTTTTCCCGTGTTAGTTTTTTTAAAGTCCAAAACAAGAAGTTTTTTTGGTTTTTTTTGCTTAAATAGTTTAAAAGTGAGATTTTTAGTTGAAACCAAATAGAGCATTCCCCAAAGTGATGACCCACATCAGAATCCAAGGGTAGTGTGATTTTAAAGTTTGCAATGACGTATAACTTGTAATTGCAAAAGCATGTTCTAAACATGATACGAACACTTCATTGCATTTAAAAGTGGAACCAATAATATTAGTTAAATATATATATTTTTTCCCCTTAAGAGAGTTGATGATGAAACATGTAAGGGATTGTAAAGTAATAATTGGATAGGATCTCACTGCGCAACTTAGGTTAATAGTGTTAAATGTATGTTTTAAAAAAATGCAAGAGAAAGATAGAAGAGTCGGAGAAGTAACCCCCACGAATTAGATGGTGGAATTTAAAATTTGAAAATTTAGCACTCTTTAAGAACCTTATGATTAAGGAATGAAAATAAATTTTGAATGAGAAAACTAACTCACATGTGTGAGATGGTCAATTGTAATAAAATTAAATAAAGTAGCAAAAGAAGCTTCTGGTAAATTCAAGAGAGTGAAAAAATTAAATAAATAAATAAATAAAACTTGGTGGTGGAATGACGAGGTTCAAAAAGTAATTTGTCACAAAATTGTCTCCACATGTGGGAATAACGATTTTTTTTTTTTTTTTTTTGACATATGAATAAAATAGCTAAAACCTTAGCTAAGAAAGCCATTATGGAGGCTAAGGAAGCAATTATGAATGATGGTGAAAAAAGATATAGATAAACTTGCCAAGATAAGAGAGGGAAAAAAAGGGTAAAAACCTAATTACATCAAGTATACTAGGGAAAATATGAAACTGTGCTTGAGCTATTTTGAAAAGCTATTTAATGAAAACCACTCAAGAAACATAAGTTCAGTCGAACTTGATACTGCAGTAGTAATATAAATTATAAATTATTTCGCAATATTAGAGTAGTTTTGGGGGAGGGATAAAACGAGGCTATGAGGAGGATGAAAGTGGCAAAAACTGTAGACCAAATGCAATTCCCATTGAAATTTGAAAGTGTTTCGAGTGATGAAGGGACAGTTTGGTTGACTAATTTGTTTAGAAAGATGCATTACAAGAAATGCTTGATAAGTTGAAGAAAAAGTCCATTAGTTCCAACATACAAGAACAGTGGTGATATTCAAAGAGAGATTAAGACACAACGGGATAAGAAAATACATGGTTATCTTAAACTTTTAACTGACGATATGACAGTGAATAAAGCCAATTGGAGGAAATGTATCCAATTAACTGACCCCAAGTAAATAGGACTATGGCTTGTTGAGTTGAGAATCATGATGGAATGATTCAATTTTAAGAATCCAAATGCATCCAACAGTTTCAAATTCTTCAGATGATCCTCTAGCTTTGAACTAAACTCATTTACATTGATCTGAGTCTCAACATTCCAAAAACCATAGCATTAGCATGGACACTACATTTATCACTAGAATGGAACATTAACAGTAATAACCTTTATTGAAAACTAACCACAATCTTGGACTATATCACAAAGCTGGTCAAGTGTGTAAATGCATCCAACAGTTTCAAATTCTTCAGATGATCCTCTAGCTTTGAACTAAACTCATTTACATTGATCTGAGTCTCAACATTCCAAAAACCATAGCATTAGCATGGACACTACATTTATCACTAGAATGGAACATTAACAGTAATTACCTTTATTGAAAACTAACCACAATCTTGGACTATATCACAAAGCTGGTCAAGCGTGTCTGCAAGATTCCCAAGGCATGTGATAAGTCTGTCACCTTGATGCCTAGTGAAATCAGTCTGCGAATCCTTGACGTTTTTTAGATCAGCCAAGAGACAGTCTGAACTCTCACCCAGGACTCCTTTAAGTATGTCAGTGATCAATTTCGCATTCTCATATAGTTTTGCAGCCATCATTTGCTCCTTCTCTTCCATGTTGTTCTTAAGCAATATCTTCTCATCTTTGCTGTGTTTCAAAGGCTTTACCCTTTTTTCTACTCTGCCTTGCTCTGGCATTATCTTTTTATTTATCTTACGTTTCTGAGGCGTCAGCCTTTCCTCTGTGCTGCGTTTCTGAGGCATCACTCGGCGCCTTTGCTTCTTCAAATCTATGGTACCAAAAGTATAAAAACACAGATGTAAGCACCTCATGTTTTGAGATATGGCTTGCACTGGTGCACTTCCTACGGTCTCAAGCACAAAGTCACACAAAAAAGCATATTGTAGAGAACTTACTATTAAAATAAATAAATGGTATCTAGAGAAACTTACAGTTGGGAATATATTGAAGGAACCAGGGAACTATGTGTGAAATTTCAGCCATTTTTAACTTCTTAGTGATTCCAAAACCAAGTTTTGGGGTTGGGATTAACTAATTCATGGCTGCTCCGTGAAAGACCGATTTACGGACTGCCAATAAATAAAAGGCACATCGACTAACTTTAGTTACATCTTAAATACTTCACTGCTACATGAGATTCTAGATACACCATACCAAATGTGATTACCTCCCTCCCCCTTCCCCTTGCGCCTCTACCTCCTCTCCCTTTGCCGCCTCCGTCAGCAACAATGCCCATTGCCGACCATTCTACCCGCAACCCACACCATCGTCTATTGCTACCTATGCCTCCAGCCCACTCCTACCACCAACCAACACCACCTCTCTCCCCCATCCACTCTAACAACCACTGCCTTCTCCCTTCTCCCTTTCCACTCCCACAGTCCCCACCATCAACCAGCGCCAACCACCCCATTGCTCTTGGTCTATTTTCTCTTTGTTCTTGGTTGGATTGTGGAGATTGAGGGTACTGCTGGTGGCTCTACTGGATTAATTGTGCCCATTATGGTGATAAATTAGTTACCAATCCCATTTATTTTTGTGATATAATCTAATAATGATTAGCCTTAATCATTTTGCTTGCCGGACATTATCTTCCCATGATGGACATCCAGCAGCGAAAGAAAAAGAAGAAGAGCAGTTGGTGGACCACAGAGAAGGAAAAGGGAAGTTGTTGTCTAATTCTCAGGTCATAAGAATAATAAACCAAAATGCTGATATGGCATAAGATAATTGGTTGTTGTAATACATACACTTTACGGATGGGACATAAAGAATTTAATCCCATGTAGTCCCTCATCAAAGTAGGATGGCATGCACATACGATGAAGAGTCATGTTTGGAGAAACAAACAACTAGACTGAGATACCATAATGAAAGTAAAGTCAGCATAAATTGCATACCCTATCATAAAAGCGGTATTTGACAACAAAATCCCAATTCTTGGTGGAAAAACACGTCCTATTCCTATTGACGAGCTCCAATATAAAATTTTCTTCGGGATTCAATAGGGTGCTGCTATTCACATTCATTTACCAACCTGCTGAAAACCCCTTCCCCTTAGTTCATAGGTTGTTCATTGGCTAGTTGCACCACATCTTTTTAGAACCTGATTTGTAATGAATGTTCTTCTTCCAACACTATAAATTGATAAACATTCAAAAGCTAAGCCAAACGTCCATCTTCTCTTGAAAATCCTTATTGCAAAGTCCTTGATATAAGTACTTTCAACTGCAAGAAACAATGCCGAGACCAAACATACCCAAATTTTGCAACAACAAAGACCACTAAAATCTGACTGAAATTCTAACCTATAATGGTCATCCAATGCCAAATCAAATACTATTTCAGCTCAACAATGCTAGTGTACGATTGAAATTACTCAGATTTCAATCCAATAGAAGATAATTTAAACTACCCATTTTTGAAGATTAAAAGGGCATGCAATGCTAGCAATCAAATAAACAATCAAACACCTAAATCACAGTTGAATGATATGAGAAAAAGCATACCAGGCTCGGCCACTCCATCGGCGACAGCTTCAGGATCAACATCCGGGTCAGTATCCGACCCATCACCCACCTTCAAATGATCATCAATGGCTTTAAACACCTCGAAATCAAAATCCTCAGGAAACCCAAATTCGCATCTTCGCTCATAATCAATCGACCAGTACGATTCGACCCGGGACTCGGACGATTCCCAGAGCTTGATCTTCTTGTAATCGGAGAGAAGGGAGTCCCATTTACGGCGACACTGGTTGAGGGTACGGAAGACTTCCAAGGAGTTGCAATTCTCGACGATGATCTTCCATTTTTGGAAAGAGGAGAGAGTGTTGCGACAGTCGCGTTCGACAGCGGCGATCTCGGTGATAAGGGTGAGGGATTCTTGGGAGGACCAGTCGGGAGCTACCTGGGAGCGAGTGCGCCGAGAGGCTGAAGCTCGAGAATGGCTACCACCGTAGTCTTCTTGCTCATCCATGGACATGGTCAGCTCACCCCCACTCAGAGCTCTCTCAGATTGTCTTCATCTTTTGTGTATTTTTTGTAAGTCTAAAGTTAAAACATCCCCGATCCTTGCCTTTTTCAAATTTCACATTTCGGGAGGTTCTATTTACACGCATACATTTTCTTTTTACACATCCATCTTAATTCACGCACCCAAAAAAAAAAAAAAAAAAAATTACTCATCACACATAATTTTATTTCAGTTATATCCTCATACACA